TTGGACTCAATCCATAGCCAATCCATTCAAATACTGCAACAAATGTTATAATGAATTAAATGAATAAATCCTTTCATCCATTATTTATTCCGAAAGACATTAACTCGTGTCTCGTTTTGTGCCAATAAATGCTGTGCAAAATATATCGTTTTAAAAGGCTTTTAATTAAATTAGATTTTAGTTTTGTTTTTAAATGTTTTCTTCCTCTCAACTAATCATTTCTCACTGATTGATAAAAACTGTTGTTTTTTGTGGCAAAATAAATGACAGAAATGTTTTTTTTGGTTATAGAATTGGGGTCTCAAATGTGCACTCAATATACAGTATACCGTATATATTGTATAGTAAACCGAAATTTGTTTTGATAACAATTTTGAAAAACATTTTCCAATCGTTTATTTTATTATCTCCGAGTCGTTTAGGAACTAATTTTGCCGTCAATTTCTGGTTTTATTTTTCAATGGTTTCTCACTATTTTACACGAGTTAAAAAAATTTGCCAATTTGCAAACCATCGGAGAATTTAACTATAAAAGTGATGTTTGTTTTGTTTGCGCTGTTTATTCACATCTATTCGCAAAAAGTAATGTCTCAAAAGTCTATTACAAATACAGTTTGATTATATAATTTTATTTATTTGTGCTTTTCCTCCCATTCAAAAACGGTAATTAAATTTTTGTGTAAATTAATCGACAAATTGAATGTAAAATATTTTGCAAAAATTATGTTTGAATATAACAAGTGCTGTGAATATTATGATATAATTTTTGTATAAAATTTTTATCAATAGAGAAACAAAAATTATGCAATGAATTAAAGTAAAACTCATTAGTTTTATGACAATAGACCCACTATTTAGACAATAGTAATACTATTTCCCCATTAATGACAATCATATTTTGTCTTTCATTTGATATTTTCTAAAATACAATGAATTGGAAATTATTTGTATTTTATTATTACTTATAAAACAAATAATAATCAAATGCAGCCGACGTTTTGGATCAAGTGATTAATAAATACTGCATTTTATTATACATTTATTTATATAGTATTGAGAAATATTGGGAAATAAAGTAAAGTTATTGGTATTTAATGGTTTGTATGAGAGAAATATTTGCAATTTGTTTTTTCATTTACTGGGTTTACAACTTTATGAGGGATTTTTGAGCAAAACATTTCATAACATAACACAGACATTGAAATTGTAATATGAAAACTCATTGTAAAGGAAATTGTTATGTTTAAAACAATTTCCAGACGATTAGTATTTTTAGACAAATGTTTTGCTTCCTATAAAGAAAAGCGTGTCTTTCATAAAGTCATAAGTACTGCATATTTACGGGTCTTTTTTCCACTGGAAAGTATCCCAAATGTCTGAAAAGCCAATTATAACACACCATAAGAAACACAAAAGACTTTACCCTTGAAATCATGAATATTTGTGTAATGAAAGCAACATTTATATGCTCACAATATTTATAACTATCGCATAAATATACTGTTGTTTTAAATAAACAAAAATTTTAATTATATAATTGAAGCGATTCTCTGGAAATGTAAATGTGATTATAATTATTGATACAAAACATATTTTTCACGTTAGTATAAATAATTTATTTTAATTCTGTATTATATTGTACTGTATATACAATTTAATTATATCATTCATTACCGCAATAAACACATAGGAATTTGAATAAAACAAAAATTTAATATATTGTTCAATCTCTTTATGAATCTGAATATATTTAGATATTTAGCAACAAATTATTGAAATTTATCTCTAAATATATCGTGAATTAAATGTAAATAATTGATGAGTTTTGAGAATTAATTTTAAGCAATATTTCTTAATAATGATGACATAAAAATGTAAATTATAGTAAAAATGTCATTTATCAATATTGAATGACATTAATAATTCAATTTCCATTATTATGGCTTATAATGAACAACAAAAACATAGCAAAACTGCCTTTTTATCTAATAAACAAAATGAATAAAAATGTTTTATAAATTGATAATAAATAACTATTTATTAACCACTATTTCGTTATATGTAAAATAATTATAAATATTTTTTGGTATATTTATAAACATTAAAAATTACATTTTAAAAATATTTGACAAAAATACTATACGTGTTTATTTTACAAAAATATATTTTATTAAAAACATAATAGATTTAATAAATTGTATTTTGAAATATTTTAATGACGAGAATACGAGGAGTCAAACAATTTTTGTATTTTTTCAATTTAATTTTGATGTCTATTTATCGCTGAATCTAATCTTTTACATAATTAATGATGATTTGAGAATTCATTAAAATTTATGAGCCGTTGGTGTCTGTGTTCACAACCAAATTCATTACAATTTTAGTTTGTTTTTAATTAAATAACAAATTTCACAAATAAAGTCTTTCTGTACAAAAAAACGGATATATTTATGCAAAAAATATGGTATAATTATAAGCAATTTTCTATCCATTTGCCTAATTATATTCATTGCAGTGATAAATATTGAATATCATAGGATGTATTCAAATAGTGATGAAAATTTCTTATTGAAAAGCAATGATTATTTTAATTTGCATTTAGATTAATATTTTTTATTTTATACAAAAGTAATTAATAATTGTTAGCCAACAAAAAACTCAATCAAATCTTTGTGAAATAATTATGAAAATAATTATAATTTATAAATTTCTAATTAGTTATGAAGACTATTCACGAATTATTCGTATGTCTGAGTGCTATAAATAAAGTATATTTAACTATAAGAATAAATACATACATATTCTGTGGATAAAATGATTTATGATGATGGTTGAAATATTTAAAATATTATAAAATAAATGTCTCGTATATTATGAGCTGAAGTGCTATTTGTAAAAACCATTTATGCATTTGAAAACTGCATTTCATCAACATTTCATCATTTTATAGACAAATTGAGTTTGAGTTTAAGTTTTTATACATAAATTGATTAATACTAAAAACACCGCATGATTTAAACTTAGTCTACATTTTTCGCTAAACATCTAAACATATATTAAATTTATAAATATAACTAGAATTATGATAGAGAAGGGATCGACAGATAGATATCGTATACAAACGCAGCGAAACATTAAATATTTGGTTCATTTTAACATTTATTTCCACGAATTCACATAAATATAAATTCAGAAAATATTTAATATTTGATGAATAGATATATTCCAGAAATCAGGGGATAAGCCGAGAGAGAGAGAGAGAGAGAGAGAGAGATGTTATAATGACAAGTTTGTCTCATCATTAGTCTTGATATATCAACGTTATGTCACACCAAAAAAATGTATTTAAAAATAGTGTCAGAAATATGTTTCACAAATAAGGTTTTAAAACTTGTTATACAAACAGATTGTGTGTATTAAAAGAACATTTAGACTGGTGTTTTTTCTATTGGTGATTTTCTATATTTTGAAAATAAAATTAATATTGATAAAACTAGATTTCAAAATTATTATAAAGTTATTATTAGTAAGTTATTACAAAATTATTTTAGTTGCAGTTTTATTTTCATAAATTTCTTTCGTTTTGTAAATCAACTTATTCTCTATTATCTTATTTGTCATTAAAAACCCATTCAACTATTGATTTTCGTGATAAGATTTTTTAAAATAAAAATTCTAAAGTGTATCCGAATGTTGCAATTTTCGGATGAGAATTCCTCCGGGATAACAATAAATTTAGATACGTCCAAACTGATCATGGTGTTCTTTAGCTTAATAAACACAGTTTCAATTCTGATTTATCATGATTTATAAAACTTTAACAATTAATACAATGATGGTCAAATAAGTTTTGCATATTTTATAGCCGCAGTTTATTGCATTGCATTATACAAAATAAAAACTTTTATTATAATAAATTTGATGTAATTTACTGTATTTTTGAATATTTATAACATCTCTCTCTCTCTCTCTCTCTCTCTCTC